GGGGCTGGCTTGTGCCAGCCGACTATTTTGTATAGGTCTTTGTCACTGGAGATGTCATCTATGACGTATCTCCAATAGTCGCGTTTGGCCACTCGGACTGCCGTTTTGAATTCCTTTGTTGCCGTAGTAGAGAGGTTCCCTGGTGCGGCTTGTCTGCTCAGGTGTTCGGTGTAGGCCGTTTTGCATTCCGCCGTCCACCAGGGTGCTGCCTTGCCTTTCCCTCTGTCCGTGGTTCCCGCTGCGGTCATTGCTTGCTTGATGATTTGTGTGAGTTGGTCAGCGAAGTCATCTATCCTTTCTGGGGTGTCGAGAGTGTCATTTGTGGGCAAGTGTGCCACTCCGTTCGCTACTAGCCCCGCTAGTCGCGGTAGTTCCGTTTCCGGGACGCAGATGTTGTGTTGATCTAGAGGCTTGATCCCTCTGCCGGGTATTGTTGTTACCAGGGTGTGGTGGTCCGAGCCACTGTGTAGGTCGTGCCGGACCCTGGTTTCTGCAAAGGGTATGTTGGAGAATGAAAGATCAAGCACGTTGCCTCCTGTGTGGGTAGGTGCTCCTCTTTCTCCAATGTATTCTAATTCAGCCAGGTCTGCCCAGGCTGATAGCTTGTTCCCCCCGTGGAGGTTTTCCGATCCAGGTTGCCATGTTTCATGTATAGTATTGAAGTCGCCTCCGATGAGGCACCCTGGGGGCGGTTGTAGTTCGGTGACATACGATAGCACCTGTTCTGTTCGTGGTTGTCGGTACACGTTCAGTATGGGATGCCCGTTTATGTTTATCCAGAGTATGTCGCGGCTTTTGATTGGCCGCCTCTGTTGGATTCGCAGTTTCGCTCCTTTTCTGATATACGTCAGTACTCGGGGTCGTTCTGCTTCTCTTTGTTCGGGGGACGTTCTTGTCCATGTGTCCACTGGTGCATATAAGGTCTATCCCGGATGTGTTTTGGTTTTTGTAAGTAGGAACGTAAAGGGTTCCTGCACGCATAGGATATCTGATTTGTCTTCAAATGCTATTTGTAGTAAGGTGTCGTGGGTCTCTGGTATTCTGCCCACGTTTGCCCAGTAGACTGTTAGATCCCGTATTCTGGACTATTGATGACTACACACGTTATCTTGATGTGTCCGGCGTCTACTCATATGCATTGGGTTAGGGGTTTTCTCCCATTTCGATGTCCTGTTGGCCATTGGCTAGGACCTCCTCGTTGAGGTTCGTGTTTACCGAGGGTTTCCGTCTCGATCGGCTTGTTGCTGCCATGCCTCTCTTGAGCTGTGTTGTGGTTGGGCTGACCCCGCTTATTTCGTAGGCGGTGATCTGTTCTCCCCGGCGTTTTGTCGTTGGAATGGGTGTGGGTGTGGGTGTGGCTATGTCTGGGGTAAGCCCGTCTTTGGGGTCGTCCTTTGACTTTTGATTGGCGAGCGTTGCCGCTTCCATTGCCAGAGCCGGTTTTCGTATGGCTTTAAGTTGTGGTTTGGTAGGTGCCGTGACTTTACCATCCACTACTTTGGGCGCCGCTGGGCAGTTCTGGTGTCCTGCCGCAAAGGGTCCGAAGCAGTTAGCACATCGTGCTTTTGCTGTACAGTTGGGTCCTTGTGAGCCTTCGTGTGCGTCTTTTCGAACCCCACAGTTTGCACAGCGGGTGAGCCTGGTGCATCTTGTTGGGTTGCACCAGCCTTGGCAGCCGGTGTTATGTCGAGTTATCGTGGGCTTTGCCTTGATCTCTCGTACTAGTTCGCTAGCGTTAAAGAGCCTGAAGCCGCGGACTGGTTCCAGGAAGGATACCACCCATGTGATTGTGCCATTGTGGGGGTTGGCCCCGTGGCGTGAGGGTCTGCAGCTGACTGGGGTTTGGCCCGTCTGTGCCTGAACCTCCGTTTCCACGTGACTCGCAGTGTCGGCTGGGAGTCCATCCAGTGTGCATATCGACGCTGGGACTCCGGGGACTGCGTAGTTGTACCACGTTATCGATTGGTACACTTGCATGTCTCGGCTGATTCGAAGGATAATCTCCTTGTTCTCCTGTGTAAGGAGTAGTTCTTGGGTTGCTGGATTCTTTGGTGTGATGGCCCATCTTGTCTTAGTAGCAGATATGGTGGGGACATCCGCAAATGTCAGGCCCGTGATTGCCCCAACGAGAGCACTTCTTAGTGTGTATGGGGCTGGTCTGCTGATCCGGGCTGCAGGGCTGATAGCTATTAGTAGCCTATGGTCCGTGCTCCGGGCAGTTCGTGTCGCCCGTTGTTTGGCGTGTACATTGTTGAGTGGGGCCTTTGATGGGGCCTCTTGAGGTGTGGGTGGGTCTGCTTGGCCCGCCCCGTTTTGACTTGTTTTGGGGGTCTTGAGGATCCCCGTGTAGGTTTTGGTAGTAGTGTGTATCTTCAAAGAAGCTGCGCTTCTTGTTGCCGGTGGTGTGTACGATGGGCTCGACTCTGGGTCGGATCTGTTGTTGATGAAGAGTGTGAGGATTTCTACGACTCTGGTGCTCAGTTTCCTGGCTGCAGTTCGTTCATCCCCCGCGGCGAAGAAATTGACGTATCTGTCAATTGTATCTACCAGGCTGATCATGACCTTTCGCTGAATTCTTTCAGTGTGTTTGTACTCGGCAAGTTTGGTTTTGAAGGCCTCCATTGCTGGGTTGGTGGTGTTGGTTGTTGCTTTGTTTCCCAGTGTGAAGACTGGAGGTACCTCGTTGGTGAAGGTATGCTGTCTTCTTTTTGAGCGGTTTTTTAGGTTGGAGGGTGTCTCCGAAGCCCGCGGATTGGTGAAATCCGCGTTCTCCAGGTCGATGACCTCGGGCGGCGCCGTGTGAGACGCCATGTTGACTCGTATAGAGCGGTATGTATTGTATATGTTGTTGTGACTCCGTAGAGTTTGAATTCAGACCAAATTTCAACTTCTGGCGACCAGAAATTTTTCTTTGGAATATTGTGTTTGGGTGTGAAATCATAGGAAAGCCTTTGATATAACCACATATCATACAACAATCATCTAATTATAACATCACTGAAAGATAGTTATGATCAAAAGGAGATAAAGTAACTATTCGTCTAAATACTGAAGGTAGATATAACTTTTAAGGGGTAAAACATGACGATTGATCTAAACTACTGGAAGAGGGGGTATAAATACCCTCTCTAGGCTATCACGTGACTCTAATACTATCGATTGGTTTCCTCACAGTATAATCCTTTGCTTCGATTTATTTATTAAATAAGTGGAATAGATTTCGAATGAAATCGAGAGAGATTGGAAATCCGGGTAATAATGATTTTCGTATAAAAAATGAAGCTATTCCCAAATATTTTGTAGAAAAGTGTGACGGAACAGACGGCTCTCTTCCGCCCACTGGCTCATACTACATACATAGTATGATATGACGGCTCTCTTGGACCTTCCTTTCACAGCTTAGAGCCCTAGCTCTATAGCTCTAGACCTAGGCATCTTACGCCTAGGACTCTTTCACCCTTTTTGGCCTAGCCCTTATGGCTCCCAATACCTGTATATATAGTCCTCCCTTTAGCATCCTACATAGCTCTTCACTTGTAGATTCTAAGTACACAATCGGAGTCCTGTTTATACCCTTTTGGTCACATGATACTACAATTAGATGATTGTTATACAATATATAGTTATACCAAAGGCTTTCCTATGATTTCATATCTAAACACAATATTCTGAAGAAAAATTTCTGATCGCCAGAAGTTGTAATTCAGTCTGAATTCAAACTCTACAAAATTATAACAATATATACAATATATACCATTCTTTACAAGTCAATATAATGTCTTATACAATGCCATCCGAGATCATTGATCTGGAAAATGCGAATTACATTAATCCACAGGTCTCAGAGACACCTTCCAATCTCAAAAATTGCTTTAAAAAAAGATAACATATTTTTATCAACGAGATACCACCAATTTTCAAATTGGGAAATAAAGCATATACCAATAACACCAACCCAGCAATAAAGACTTTTAAAATCAAATTTGCTGAATACAAATATATTGAAAGAATTCAGTGAAAGGTTATAATCGGTCTGGTAGATATAATTAACAGATACATCGATTTCTTTGCTACAAGGGATAAACAAACTGCAGCTAAGAAACTGAACACTAGAATCGTAGAAATCCTTATATTCTCCATTAACAACAGATCCGATCTATTATCAAATCTATTATATACATCATTAGTAATAAGAAGCACAATTTCTTTGAAGATATATATTATTACCAAAATCTATACAGAGATCCTCAAGACTCCCAAAACAAATCAAAATAGAGTGGGCCGAGAGGATCTACCCATATCTCAAAAGACTTTATTAAAGGTCTTATCCAATAATGTATACGCTAAACAACGGGTGATACAAACCGCCCAGAGTACGGATTATAAACTACTAATAGTTATCAGCCCTGTAATCCGGATTAGCAGACCAGTCCCATATACATTAAAAAGCACTCTCATCAGAACAATCACAGACCTGACACTTGCAGATATCCCCACTATATCTACCACTAAAACAAAATGGACTATTACACCAAAGAATCTAGCAATCTAAAAACTACTCCTTATACAAGAGAATAAGGAGATTATCCTCAGAATCAGCTGAGACATACAAATACACCAATTAGTAATATAATTCAATTATGTAATCCCTGATATCCCAATATCAATCTATACAATAACAGGACTCCCAATTGATATAACAAACCATGTGGAAGTGGAGGTTTAGGCATAGATGGGCTAAACCCCAGTTAACTGTAGATCCTCACAATACAGAGCTAATCTCCACAATAGCACAATCACATAGATAATATCTTTTTTAGAACTAGTCCGCAGTTTCAGGCTTTTTAATACTAACAAACTAGTACAAAAAATCAAGGCAAAATCTACGATAGTTCGATACAATATCGGCTGCCAAGACTAATATAATCCAACAAAATATACCAGGCTTACCTGCTATACAAACTATAGGGTTCGAAAAGATATACACAAAGGCCCATAAGAACCCAACTATACAGCAAAAGTATAACATACTAACTGTTTCAGATTCTTTACAGCAGAACATCAGAATTGTTCAGCAATGCCCAAAGTAGTGGATAATAAAGTCATAGTATTTATCAAACTATAACTCAAGGCTATATAAAAATCGGCTCTGACAATAGAAACGGCAATACTTGCCAACCAGAAGTCAAAGGACAATCTCAAGGAAGGATCTACCTTAGATACAGCCACATTTATATCCATATCTATCCCAGTGATAAAACGTTGGGGAGAATAGATCATTGCCTACGAAATAAGCAGGGTCAACCTAACCACAACACAGCTCAAGAGAGACACAGTAGCAACAAGCCAATCAAAACAGAAACCCTTAGTAAACACAAACCTTAACAAAGAGATTCTAATCAATAGTTAATAGGATATCGAAATGAAAGAAAACCTTCAACCCAATGTATATAAGTAAATACCGAATACATCAAGATAACATATGTAATTATCAACAGCCCAGAATACAGGATTTAACAGTTTATTAGGCAAATATGAGCAGAATACCAAAGGCCTACGATACCCTACTACAAATGGTATTTGAAAACAAATCAGATGTCCTATGTGTGCAGAAACCCTTCACGTTTTTATTTACAAAAACCAAAACATACCCTGGATGGACCTTATATACACCAATGGATTTATGGACAGGAATATCCCCTGAATAAAAAGAAGCAAAACGACCCTGAATATTAATATATGTCAGAAAAGGAGCGAAATTGTGAATTCAATAGAGGTAACTAATCAAATACTGCGATATACTTTGGATAAATGTAAACAGATATCCTATATTGAATGTATACCAATAACTATAAATAGAACAAGTGTTATCATATATCATTGAATTACAATTATCCCTAGGGTGCTTCATTGAAGGCGATTTCAATGTTATACATAAAATATAGCAATTTGGATCGGAAAACCTCTACAAAAGGAACAAGTTATCAGCCTGGGCAGACCTGGCTAAACTAGAATATATTGGAGAAAGAGAAGCACCTACCTATACAAAAAGTAATGTACTTAATCTTTCATTTTCTAACATATCCTTTGCAAAAACCAGGGTCTGACATGACCTATATAGTAACTCGGACCACTACACCCTGGTAATAATAATACCTGACAAAGGGATCAAGCCTCTAGACCAATATAATATCTATGTCCCAGAAACAGAACTACTGCGACTAGCAGGGCTAGTAATGAACAAAGTGGTATACTTGCTTACAAATAACACCCTTGATACTCCAGAAAGGATAAATAACTTTGCTAACCAACTCACGCAAACTATCAAGTAAGCAATAACTGTAGTGGGAATTATAGATAGAGGGAAAGGCAAGGCAGCACCCTGGTGGATGGTGGAATACAAAAAGGTCTATATCAAATACCTGAGCAGACAAGCTATATCAGAGAACCTTTTTACTACAGTAACAAAGGAATTCAAAACGGTAGTCCGAGTAGTCAAATGCGACTACTGGAGATATGTTATAGATGATATCTCCAGTGATAAAGATTTATATAAAATAGTCGGCTGGTACAAGCTAGCCCCGAATCTTAAAAGCCCCACAATCATTTCAAACGGAGTGGTAATAGAAGACGCAATGGAAAAAGCCGAAGTGCTCAGGACAGAGATCCTGGATCGCTTTAACGCAGAAGATGACCTGGAATATAATCCACTGAAAGATTAATGGAAAGAAAGCGGGCATCTACCCTAGAACTCCCGACTTATATTGGAAGAAGTCGAAATAAGTGTTATTGGAGTATCCAATACATCCCTAGGAACTGATCAAGTTATGGTCAGAATCCTCAAGGTTTGTTAGAACCACCTCAAGGATTTACTAAGACAGCTCTACCAGAAATGTCTTAAACACAGTCATTTCCCAAAAACCTAGAAGCTAGCTGAAGTGACTATACTACCCAAAATCGGAAAAAAGGATATAATATCTGCAAGGTTATAAAGACCCATCGCCCTACTCTCCTGTATAGAGAAAGGCCTGGAAAGAATAATTGCTAAACGATTAGGCTGGATAGCCCTGAAACACAGCATCATTAGCTCCCAACATAATAGAGCCCTACCCAAATACTTTGTAATAGACCTGGTAATGTTTTTTATATATAATATGAAAACAGTATTAACAGCCGGGAAGAAAATGACTATAATTACTATAGATGTACAAAACACTTTCGATACATTGTTCAAAAGACGACTCCTTGTTAGAATAACGAAACAAGGCTGGCCTAAGGATCTACTCCTGCTAATTGATTCCTTCCTAACAGAAAGGAAAGTCAGAATACAGCTAGAGCAAACTATAATTAAAGAATACCCAGTAGTCTGTAGAATATCGTAAGATTCTCTTTTATTACTAATTCTGTATATGCTGTACCTAGCAGAATTATTTTCAAAAGATACTTCTCTCAGGTTTGGGTATACAAACGATATTTGTTTATACAGAATATCCAAAACCCTAGAAGAAAACATTAGATACCTTACGATAGATGTACAAGATATCATAAAATGAGGAACAAATAATCATATCGTCTTTGCCCTGGAGAAACTGGAAATAATCCATATTTCTATAGATAATGATAATGTAACACCTGTTATCAGAATCAGTGAAAAACTCATAATCTATCTGATAATGACTACAGAAACAAACATCTGTCTAGTATTGAAATAACTGGGAATATAATTTGATAGAAAGCTGAACTTTCGTAGACATATCATTGAATACACAGGAAAAGCCAGGATAGTGGCAAAGTATATACAAGGTCTAATCAAAATTATGCAAAGCCCCCCAGTACACATCATATGCAAAGCAATAATTACATGTATATTTTCCTTATTTCTATATAGGATTGAGGCCTGGTACAGAGGTAGATTCAAGGCAATGCGAAGACTAAAACCAGGATAAACAAAGGTTAACGCCCGCCTTGGCTGGTACATGACACAAATCGAAAAGATTTTCACAGTGGCAACACGAGGAGTTATACCAATCTGGAAAATTATACTAGTAACTGTTCTCTACCATGAAACAGGTCTCCTCTTAGCTATAGTAGCCTTCGAGAAAGCCAAACTAAGGTTTGTCTTATATTTCTAAAGCATAGATATAACCCACCTGTTTACGAAAAGAATTGAATCTCCTATAATTATCAAAGGACGAGACACGGGCATAAGATAAAGAGTAAAGACTAAAATCCAGCAACTAGATCTCCTTGTCCTCCCAATCCCAAGGTTTATATTCGAGATATTACAATATATACCAGGCTGCCGGACAGATCTAACGGAAGGGATTGATAAGAAAACGGTTACAAAAGTCTTCAATACCTGGTAGGAAAACCTGTTAGATACAGATATCACCATCTTCTCGGATAGATTGGAAAACTATATGAAAGGAAAATATATCGTAGGCTATAGGTATATAATATATCTAGGCAAAAACCAGATACTGACAAGTTCCGGTTTTATCAATATCAAGTCCTATATCTTCAATACGAAAGCTATTAAAATATGGAAAGGCCTGGAATGTATCTTTAAGGATGCTAGATATACCAATCAGAAAATCTGGATATATATCGATAACACTTTGGTTATCTGGAGTATAAGGGCTAATATCTTTATATTATTACAATAGACATTCAACAATTGCTACAAGACTATGCAGAATAACGATATTCGTATTAAATGGTCACCGGGATATGAAAACATCGAAGGAAACAAGGCGGTTGATCACCTGGTCGATCTTAGTGTCAAGAAACCCAATTGGGATACTGGACCAGCATCTCAACCCATGTATAGCGGGATAAGATCGATTATATATATCCTCAAAGAAAAGGTTTACCAAGAATAATGGACATTATATAAACCAGCCCTCTCGCTGTAGTATAAACAGTAGAACCTGGTATACAAAGTCAAACCATTGCTAGAGCTCCTACTCCCATAAGTAGTTTTATACAGACTGATAGCTATCCGAACCTTATATAAGGATTTCGACTAATATCATAGGAAATTTGGGCATTCAGGAGATACGGAATGCTCTTGTGGAAGGCCTAAAACCCCTGCCCATCTGATCCACTGCCGGAAGGCAAGAAGCACCTTTGATCAATGGCTAAACAAGCCCCCCAAACCATTATCAACAAATGAGAAAGGTATCCAATATCTATATCAAATCTTAAGCAATCCTATAGACTTTGCAAAACTGCTAAAGTTCATAAAGTTCTACAAAGATATATGTCCAAAGTAAAGGGCTACAAGCCTATATTCTATTTAAAACAAATAATCTAAAAACCTTGTGACAATATATATCCATTATTAGGATTGACTTGTAATGTACAATACAAACAAAGTTATCAATTCTCTTTACAAAAAATATATAAAGAAACAAAACTATCAACAGGTATAAAAAACCTGTTTGAACATTAACAAGATATACGAAAGCATATTTGAGAACGTTTCCCAGAGTATAACAAATATTCAAACTGCCACACCAAAAGCAGTCTATCAACCTGCCCAGCGCAAGCAATGGCAAGTTTACAATAGGGGCATATCTATCTAAATCAGGCAAGACAGCAGGATCACCTCAACTGGTGGAGGAGAGAATGTACAAATTGGAAGGTAATATACGATTACCGGGAATGGCTATAAAGGCTTTCACTTTTCTTTCTAAGGCACTCTCATTTTATGTATCATAAGACTATAGCTTAGAATATCTGCATACCCCTAGGGAGGTTCTGAGGGCAGCCATAAGCTGCTCTCCTGATGTAAAATAATACTACTACTACTACTACTCCTATGATTTCACACCTACCTTCACTCCTTTACACTATATACTATAGGCCTATCACATATATCATTTAAGCGACGCACATGATATGCATATGATATACCGATACTATCATAACTACCACTCGAGATCTGTGAAATCTACCTCCGTTTCATCACTTGCCGATAGAGCCTGCATAGCTGGTACAACAAAGGCCCTTTCTGTCTTAAGTCGCGCCATCTGCCTTGTTCTTGTATAAAATACAGGGCAATCTTTACTATCACATCTGACTTCCTCTAGTGGAGATAAGCCAGAACAGCTCTGACAAATTCTTTGTATATCCAGAAATTTGTTTTCCTCAACATTGAGCCTTGTCTGCAAAGAAAGCATCGACCCAGGGCCATCTGAGAGACATCGTGGGCAGAGGTATCCCTCTGTCTTAAGTTTATCTCTACACACAAGACATGAAGATGATTTCATGTATGACTCGAGTGTTTTCCTGTTGATGTTTAGTTTTTTTAGCTGTCCTTGCTCAAAATTCATCTCTATTCGGCGAACGCGCTGAACTTTGGGCATCTCATCATACCAATTTCTGACATTGGCACCCATGAGATTGAAGATTCGTTCCAGGGGTGGGATTATATTTTTGGAAATATAGTACTCCGCATCTAATTCGCTATGATCGCTGTTGAGAAGTTCTTCAGGTGCCACACAGCGATCAATCAACCGAGCCCCTGGAGCGCCTGTGATGACCACATATGGAACTCGCTCGCCATACTGTGGCTCTGCTCGGGCATCCTCTAACATCTTTTTGGTACTTATAAGAGCTCCCGGAGGTGGTGGCACTTTGTCATTGTATGTTCCAAGCTTGACTTCTCTGGCAAAGCAGAAGTCTTGGATAGATACAGAGCCTTTCATGATCTTCTCGCATTGTTCTTGAAAGTAGGATTTTACTCGGCTCAGGTCAGCTGTGCGAAAGAGTATCTTGAGAGCTTTTTCTTCGATCTTTTGCTCAGCTGGTGTGCCATCACGTCGTACAGTCTCGATACCTTTTGCATCGAAGTTCGGCTCAGTTTGAGACTTACTCTCGTACATCATGCCTACATATCGCTTCTTAGCTAAGAGCACGCAGGGAAGATACACCTTTTCAAACTTGAGCTTGACAGGCCGCGGATTCATATTAGTGACCGTTTTTGCAATCTCATTCCCGATATCGAACGCTTCGTCTTTGCTGCGACCCTTGAGGTAGACAAACAAGCTGTCGGTATCTCCATACACTACTTCTGCACCCCAGCGTTTAACCGAGTGTATAAGTGCTATGGCCTTTTCCAGTGTCTCCCGACCAGTTTGAACAATGCTATCAGCAATCTCTGAACATGGCATGCGGCCAGAGAACGATGCAGATGTATATCCGTAGGTAACATTGGCGATGAGTTTCAAGGCAAGCTGTCTATTGTTCAAAAGTCGTTGTAGAGCTTTGTCTTCCTTGTCAAGCTTCATCCCACTCTTCACCATAACTCGTGTCTCAAGAATTTCACCCAGCATCTTGGCTAATAGAGACTTCCGGATGTTTGGTTTTACATACATGATTCCATTAGGAGAAATATTGATGTGATCTTTCAGCAACTCCAAAAGCTTCTCCTCTCGTGTGTACTCTTTGAAGCCCATTTTATTGGTACCTCGCCAATTCACCACTCTTCCAAGATACGTCGAATAGCAATAATTGTAGGCGATCATAACACTAGGGTACAAGCTTTGAAAATCGAGCACTAGTAACGGTGCACTGTAGAAGGCACTTTGAGGCTCCATGACAAGGGGAAGACACTCTAAGGCATTTTGGCCTCCCACTTGTTTTCGACTAGGAGATACCAAGATGAAGTTCTCTGGTTTTGCAATGCGAAACATCAGAGATTCGACCTTGAATTGTGAACCACGAGAAAAAACCGAAAAGAAATCAACACCCAAAAGTCGTGCTTGTTCACTTGTACGTGAGATCAATTCGTTCTGCTCAAGTATCTCTAGATCAAGTTGTACACGTGACACATAGTGCGAGAGTACCTTAGACAGATCTCGCGCCGATCCATTAGTATACCATGTCCTTAGATCAGCCCATGTATAGTGAGGGATTCGTCGATGTAGCAGATGGAAAGCCACGTTTTCTAAAGTATACTGAAGGAGGTTAAGCTCGGCTCGCATGGCTCTCCAAATGTTGATCATATGTCTACCCGTAACACGAATTGTAGACGTATTGTTGAATCCCCATTTGTCATTATCCTTGCCAAAACGACCGTGAGATTGGGTTTTCATACGTGAAAACTCGTCACAAATATCGTAGTCATATTTTGTTCTTGCTCGTTCAATCAGATATCCCCAAGATCCACCGTGAACCTCGAAACCAGTCAGGATATCTGGATCATGCTCGCGAACAATCTCTACCATGCGGACAAGTAAATCAAGTTCAGAAGATTCTACATGCACTTCGAATGAGACTTGATTCGAAATTCTCTCAGACATGTCGTTATCTTCAGCGGACAGAACGACAATGCCCAGTTGTGTTGGGCTACTCTCCAAGCCTTCGTCGTCCGCCTGAAGGCAGAAGAAGATACATTGAATCTCATCCTCTTCGGGATTAGGAACAAAATCTCCTCGTGTGTTGACATGAACCTCCAGACTCATGACGCTCATGTATTGAGCCTCACGCTGAATACTAACGGTCTTTTCGTTTTGTGTATACTTGAAACCATGCTTATTCTTTTGAGTTGGACCGTCGATTTGAGAAAGCTTTGGCCCCTTTGTAGAATTGCTGAATGAAGTTGCGCCCCTTTTTGGCTTTGCGATTTTCTTTTTCATCGGTAAGTTCTCGTTGTGAGCCCATTCGTGCACTTCCGCATAACTAGGCGGTGTTTCCGCAAAAGTCCAAACCCTAAGGCTGCACTCGCGACGTCGATGATTATAAGCTTCCTCGCTCTTGGTCCTGTCCGGGAGAACAACAGTTCTGATCCCATGGGTTGCGTTTGAGGTTGCAGTTGGGTCAAAGTCGGGAAGGAATGATACACTCGTGCTTCCAAGCTTGAATTTCCTACCTGCCCATTCTCTGGGACGCTCAGGAACATCTTCTTCGTTGCTATAGAAAGCATCTTGATAAATTATAGGGGGCAGACTGAAGTTTGACATTGTTGAAGAAACAAAATGGGCTGATGGGGGAGGTTGATGATGTGCTAGCACCAAAGACTTAGTGCTACTTCCAAAACGATCTTTGATTTCTTTAAGAAGCTTGTCCTCTTTCTTTTGAGTCATACTTGGCATCGTTGTGGAGTCTGACATGTCCATTACCTTATCAAATTTGTCTGCGGGTGATGTTGAGACAGCTAGCAAAGAAACGCTCTTCCTGGCCGTAGAAGTATCTACGTCTCCAGAACACTGGCTGTGCCTCAATGTCGTGCTGATATCGTGCGGATCATTGTTCACATGAAGATTGAGCGAGTCCTGAGAGGAAAACTTAGCACTAGATGCCCTAAGCTCCAAGTTGGTTCGCTGCTCAGCGTAGTCGCTTTTCCGCCCTATGGGTGATGTGTGAGACGATTGTAATGAAGGCTGAACCCTGCCAGCAACTTGATCCGGTCTGTGTTTGGTAGCATCGGGCTCTTCGACCGTGGGAATCTTGCTTTTCTTCCGCCGTTTCGTATCCGGGCAGTCTCCCTGTGATTGTGCTCTTTTAGAACCAGGTTCGATGTAGTTGGGCACTTGGCCTCTATGATCGTGACTGCTAGCATGATCAAAATCAATCTGACTGGCCAAACGACTGATTTGTGCGGATCTGAAGTACGACTCATTTTCCGTGCCGACAATCCCTAGAGTGTCTGCGCATTTTCGACGATCATCACCTTCTTCAGTTTGATCCTCTTGCAACTCAACTGACAAAATAGGGCCGTCACAAAGTTCGTCATTTAAAGTCGCAGCGGTTTGGGGTTCTGACGTTTTTTCGTCGACACGATCCTGTTTACGCTTTTGAGAGAGCTCAATTTCTCTCATAACATCTTCATCGGAATCGTAAATGTCGTCGGTGCCATCTTGATCCATTGCAAGTTCAACAATGCGATTTTCGTCAACCTCTCGTTCTCCCTTACCATCGTGCAAAAAATGATGCTTCTTCTCCTCAGACACTGATTCAAATGCCAGACGAAGATTCTCTGGATATAAGTCTTCTACAGACTCAAGACTGGTCCTAACAGCAGACTCGAAGAGTTTTGGTTTTACAAAGTCATGGAATGAGGGTTTTGAAGTGCCGCCTTTATCCTGTTCCTCTTGAATCAACGTCTTGACCATTTCCCTGTACTCACTTTCATGCATCCATCCACCGGTCTGGGAATTTCGAGGGTCTGCTGACATTGAAAACATTACCTCGGCAGAGAATGGACTGCTACCAGCCGGTGCATTTGGCATTTTAGATTTTCGACGACGGGTTTCATCTTTCCAAAGGCCTGCCATACTCTGTACTAACTTTTCGTCTGAGGTCAAGGGACCAAGGTTCTGAGCGAAGTCATGGTGAAGAGGACGTGGCTTTACATCCCGCCTGTTGAGAATATTTTGTACGCAAATATCAACCTCCAAGGAACATTGGCTAACCCTGGGTAGGAATGTGTCATTCGTCATAAAATGATCAGGTATCGAACGGTCATGCCAAAGATGCATTGACGACGATATTTCCTCGTATAGAGGCACCGGACTTCGAAATGTGGTCTTGTTGCAATCGATATATCCACATCCATATAAATTGTAGTCAGCCATCCACTGGAGAAGAAACTGAAGATGTGCTTCATATGGCTGGAAAATTCGCTTCATAATGGTACCTTGCCTTAAAAGGTCTGCAAGACGTGTCATTACCATGGGGTTCAGCATATAAATCTTAAGATAGAAGCGATATCCGACATGGAATCCATAGAATGGGATCGCTTTTATCAAGGTAATGCGTGCGACGAATTTTGCATTCCCATCATGTGAATTGCGCCGGTAGCTTACAGCCAAGGCATGGTCAATTGAAAGATGAAGTCGGTGAATGTAGCTTCCAACTATAAGTTTGTCAGTCACTAGATTAACCATAGAGATCAGCAAAGAGATACCTTCATCAGAAGTGATGGTACCATCATATTCGATGTATAAATAAGGAAATGCCCCATGAATATGCGCGCAAACCTTCTGGCCAGTTTCCGTTGAGCCAAAAATCCTAATGACAGGTACTTTTGGCTCTTTGTGAAGCTCAGAAGATTGAACATTTCGTTTCAGTTGAGGATCAAACTGAGTTGGTGTAGCTTGATAATGATCAATGCAATTGAGACGTGCTCGAAAGAGGTCCATGGCAAATTGAACGTGTTTGGTTGTCAATTTTCATGATCTCGCATTTCTCGTTCTACCTTCGAGTAGGTATAAAAGGAAATACTATTAGGAATTGTTCCTGTTTCCTATCTTCATTTCCTTCTCATGCCGTAGAAGTGGCGCAAACGCGAACGCGAACGCCAAGTCACGGGAAGGCTTCATCCCCAAACCGCTGACAAATCACAATCTCGGCTTCGCATTAACCATCTACTCTATAACTTACAAGATTTTTATATTGAGAGCAAGCAAGGTCGGATTCCCGGTACGTTAATCACACTGGGAAAACCCATTCACGTTCGTTCCCCTCCGCTTCAGTAGTCGGCTGTCATAAATCTTCAAAATGCCTCCAGCAGGAACCCAACCTCGAAAACCAGAAGCATCTGCAGCAAACAAGGATCAGAACGAGTATATTCCGGCTTTCATTGCAAAGAAACCCTTCTATGTCGACGACGACGATAATACAGATTACCTCGAGCATCAGCGTCTTCAGAAAGCCCAATCAGATCAGTCAATATGGTATGACCGTGGCAAGAAATTGGGGCCCGCAGCGACCAAATTTCGAAAAGGCGCATGCGAAAACTGCGGGGCAATGACACACAAGATCAAGGATTGCTTAGATAGACCTAGAGCGAAAGGCGCCAAATGGACTGGGAAAGATATACAGGCAGATGAAGTTATACAAGATGTTGATCTGGGATGGGATGCGAAGAGGGACCGATGGAATGGATATAATGCGAAAGAGTACAAGGCTGTCACGGACGAGTATGCGCAGTTGGAGGAGCTGAAGAAACAGGTATGTAAAGGTGATGGCAAGGATGGAGAAGAGGCTGGTGAGGACGGTGATGATGATGGCGCAAAATATGCAGAGGAATCAGATATGGGCAGACATCAAAGTACATCGACGAGGCAGCTGAGAATCCGTGAGGATACGGCGAAATACCTTTTGAACCTGGACTTGGATTCGGCAAAGTACGATCCCAAAACCAGATCTATGGTGGACAGTGGAGCGACTGCTGATACGGCTGCTGCGCTGGTTGCGGAAGAAGGATTTTTGAAGGCTTCTGGGGATGCCGCCGAATTTGAAAAGGCACAAAAGTACGCCTGGGAGTCTCAAGAGAAGGCAGGAGATACAAAACTACATTTGCAAGCAAACCCTACTTCCGGCGAATATTATAGGAGAAAGGAGAAGGAAGAGGCCGAAACCAAACGAAATGCGCATAAGAAAATGCTTTTGGAGAAATACGGTAAGGATAGTAACCCCGTGGCCGCGAAACTCAGGGATGCTGCCGTCATGGAGTCCGAAAGATTCATCGAATACGATGAACTGGGTGGAATCAAAGGAGCACCAAAGGCCTCTGCCAAGTCGAAATATCCTGAGGATGTTCTTATTAATAATCATACCTCTGTGTGGGGAAGCTGGTGGTCTCAATTCAAATGGGGCTATGCTTGTTGTCATTCTATGGTCAAGAATAGTTACTGTGTTGGCGAGGCAGGGAAAAGGGCCATGGAGGACGCTGAACATGCTAGAACAGGCAATATTCTGCTCGAGGGAGGTGCGGAAGAAATTGAAACGGCGAAGGAAGAAATCGCAAATCCTACCGGGGCCGTCTCTGATTTGACTACACAACAAACGAAGAAGCGTACGGCGGAAGAGATGCACTCGGGCGTGTCAGAGGAGGACATGGATGCATGGAAGAAGAAACGTGTAGCAGCCGACGATCCAATGAATGCTTTCTTAGGGAAGGATGAGCTAGTGTAGTGAACAGGTTGATATCCCAAATTTGATTGCATTGCCTGCAGCTCGGGAAAAGATATCGCTGTAACATTTGAAGTATATAACGAGGGAGACGGAGTTTAATGGGGATAGCCAAAGGGGCGAGGCAATGAAAGCGAAACGTTTTCAGGGTGTCCCGAAGGAATTAACAATGAATATATAACCTTCGAAGTTTACACACGTTTGGACAAGTAACAAAACGATGAGATAATTTCAACACGATTGACCACAAATCAATGAGCAATCACCTCAAGTTTCTTGTGGTTATTAGCAAGTTTCTTGTGGTTATTAGATTGCAAATGGGGAAAATAGCAAAACAATCATTAAAAAATAGTGCTCATTATATCATCATGGAACGTGGCTTTTATTGCATAGCTTGACGCTGAGATGTCTGCTTTACATGCTGTGACCGGCCCTAACCCTTGCTAAAAAGATTTCTCATGATGGAGATAGGAAAGATTTTGGTATCAAAAGGGTTCCTCTATTCCTCATCCTCTTCCTCCTCGGCGTCATCCTTCTTCTCGGAAGCCTTGGCCTTCTTTCTGCGAACACGTCCTGGACGTCCACCGCCGAATGGCGAGCTCAATGCGAAGTCGATGTGCTTTTGGGAGTCGAGACGGACAACGAAAGATGGAACGTTGACAATTTGCTTACCAACACGGATGTGTCTTTGACGGATGAGGACACGAGCGTGGTGGATAGACTTGGCGAGACCGAGCTTGTAGACACAGGTCTGGAGACGACGCTCCATGAAATCTTCAATCTTCAAGGCCAAAACGTAATCGAGCTTCATGCGGGATTCGTCGAGGACACCGACACGGACGAGACGACGAATGAGGGCGTTACCTTCGAAGAGTCTCTTTGGGTCCTTCTCGTCGAGGGTGAGCAATTGACTAGAATAAATCAGCACACTGAAAACTTCCAGATCGAAGGGGTAAAGTACCGAGCAGCACGACGAATCTTGGAGAGAGTCAACTGGACACGCCAGACCTCACGCTTGTTGCGGAGACCATACTCTCCAACAATCTTCAACTCGGAGTCCCTAAGGAATAATCAGTGACATGAACAGAGCAAGCTCTAGAACAGTGGTCCACTTACAAACGAGCACTCTCGAAACTGTGCAATTGTCAGCATTAATCCAAATGTACAGGGAAATCATTGGCAGAATACTTACGGACGACGTGGGACCTTGTAGGTCTTGGAGTATGAAACGCTATTTAGAATATCAGCACATGAAATCGATGGAATTTTTGCGATCTGGGCGATATGCCCAAAACGATTGAATTCGAATCAGAGAACTTCAGAAAAATTCGAGATAAATCTGAAGCCTCGGAATATGAACTTCATTGATAGAGTACGTACGGGGCCATTTTTACTGATGCGTCGAGCGGCTCTTGTCGATTGTCGTAAAATTCTTGATGGCTGGTTGTAAATTTTGTTCCAGTAAATTTCCAAAATTGCGGCACAAGTTAGGGCATTTGACCCGAACTACACCAAATTCAGCAAGCGCAAAGATAAGCGAAAAAAAGTCGAAAGTTGCAGTGGCCGATACCAGCGTCAACTTGTAGAAGAAAGATTATCGACAAATTCTGAATAACTTCGACGTCCCCTCGAATACCCATCCTACATCGATAAAATGGGTCATCCAGCAGGTCTCCGCGCCGGTACTCGGGTGAGTTGATAATTTTTCAATTGTAGCCATTTGAGAGGGCTTCTACGGCCACAGCCTCGAACTCGATGCGGCGACGAGGTTTTGCGGTATTGGAGCAATAACTGACTCATTTGCAGTATGCATTCAGCAGAAACTTTAAGGATCATGGTATGATCAAGTTGTCGACCTACTTGCGCCAATACAAGTATGTAGAAGTCCATTTCTGCCGAATTACGAATTCTCGCAAAGTACTAATTTATATGTAGGGTCGGAGACATCGTTGATATCAAGGCAAACGGTGCCGTTCAAAAGGGGTTAGTCTAAAATCATCAAGCACACCTGCACTTTCTAGGAGGAAACACGAGAGGGTCGCGGATCATGTAGGATGAGCTTGTGTACTGACTTATGCACAGTATGCCCCATAAGGTTTACCACGGAAAGACTGGTGTCGTCTACAACGTTACCAAGAGTGCCGTTGGTGTCATCATCTACAAGAAGGTCAAGCACAGATACATCGAGAAGCGTGTCAACCTCCGAATTGAGCACGTTTCCCTCTCCCGCTCAAGAGAGGAGTTCGTCCGCAGAGTCAAGAAGAACGCCGAGTTGAAGAAGCAATCGAAGACCGACGGTACCCACGTTCACTTGAAGAGACAACCAGCCATGCCAAGAGAAGCCAGGACCATTTCGATGAAGGATAACGTACCAGAGACAATTATGCCAATCGCATACGAGACGACTATCTAAGCTCTGGGCTGGGGTTTGTTTGGGTTTCTTTGCGGGATATGATACAATGAGGGTCAGAGGCTTCTAGCGTTGCATGATACAAAATAAACATGTGCAATACCTTCAAGAATCTGATAGGTTTCCAACAACGGTATTACGCACGGTCATGTGTTTGCAGCAAGATTTGGTGAACAACAACTTTTTACATTTCAATTCTTTTCCCTTCATTTTCATGTTATCCCGGAACCGTATTTGTCACGCTTAGGTAGAAGGTTTCCCACTTCTTCGAAGCCCTCACAAGTGTTCCAAGAACAATCCCAGTCGAGTTTGGCTCTTTACTATCCAGAATTTCCCATGTTCTGGATGAAGCCTTATTTGAATACATCACAACTTCCCCCTTTTGCCATGGTTACCCGGAGAGTGTCGCTAGACAAACGTATGTTAGGATTCTGGTGGCCACCTCACAATAGAGCAGACAGAGATGTTTGCACTTTGTTAGGCGTGTAAGCCGCTGGGAATAAAATTTATACAACCACTTTGGATTCTTGGCATCAAATGATCGTGATTTGAGTGAAACTAGCAATATCATAACACATTTTCCCTAGACACGGTATGGTCTCTAACACTGCACTCCACATATTGCTCGTGTCTGATCTACATCTGGCACCTGTCACTGTGCACCAGACAAGGTCGGTAGTTGCCGAGGAAGTAAGAGATTCTGCCGCGCAAGCATATTCTTCGGTGCTTAAATTTGCGGGGGGAACAGCATAGCCACGAGTAAGAATTTTGAATGGAGGCGCGTATTTGTATACTCTAGCAAGTTTTGATGGGTTCTAGCAAGGGTACAAGGCAATGGTATGGTTTCGAGGAATTTACTTTGTATGAGTTCAGACCTTCCTTAAAGAGCTAATCTCTGATCTGTAGAGACAAGAAGTTTCATCTGATAATAATCTGGAATCAAGCGACAGCTGATATAAATAATAAGAATGACAGCAAGCCTTGAAAACTCTAATGAAGGATGAAAGAACCAATTGTATTATACTGGTGGTGTTGATATCGACAATTTGGAATGAATATCACAGTACAGTATCGGCATTATTCCCTAATGAATTAAATATAGTAAGCTAGACCCATCCAGGAGAATGAATATAATAAATTTATTAGTACTAGGAAACTCCTTTCAGCTATGAGTGAGTACCTATTTTTGTACATTTAGCTACGACTATTAAATCTAATTAATTATCTATTTCTCTATTTAGAGTAATCTTATATTCATTGATGTCTATCTTGTCTATCATTCCATTTTCCTTGTTTTTATCTAACTACCTAGATACTTTTATGATTACTTCTCCTTTTCCCTCTTCTTGTACACCATTCATTCAGGCAGGATTTTGATTGGGTAGTGTTCAGCGTTTAGACATATGACGCCGCGCCGTTTTCCTTTCTAGGAAAATTAATTATCGGAGTTCATAATCCGACAAATAATTGATGAATATCATTAACATTTAAGCTCTCAACCTTTTTGTACTCTCCCCCTCTCATTTACGAGTACAACCTTCATGAATACGACTATTACATTACTTCTTTTTCTTTTTTTCTTTTTCTTCTTCTACTTTCACATACATTTCCTCATTTTCTTCTATCATTTACTTTACAACTTCAAACCCTTTTTCTCTTTTAATATCACCTTTTGTCGATACATAAAGCATCAGCAGAAATTCCGATTGCGATTGTCAGAAGTTACCTTCCTAGCTAGGTCCATTAATAAATCGTGAACTCCGATTTCTTTGGTGGGTTTCTAATCAGGAACGAGGCTCTAAGCCTCCTCAAAGAACCAAATGTCCGAGTAAGTAATGTATTGCATTCCTTCATCAATACCTACCAGTATCATTCAGGCTCGGCACAAATAATAAATCGCAATAACTGATAATGCAACCAATCGCACAGCTTCATCCACATTGCTGGATGGACTCAATATAATCCCCGTCGGTCATTACAACATATCCGATCTCTTTCTGGTTCATCTACAAAGACGATAACGAAATCCATTTCTACTACCACCCTGCCAACAATGGCTACGGTATCGAACGCCCCTGGTATACCTACACCAAGGGCTTTCAGTCCTTATATGGATCATGAGGAGAATATGAGCACTCTTCCCGATCCTCGGAGTAGAGTCTCGTCACCTGTAGTTGATTCGCCTCTACCAAGTCAAGACCAGCATCACGAATTGAGCAATGCACATCTGAGCGAGGAGGTCACGACTTTGAGTAAGAAACTTATAAACGCCATAAATCACCAGACAAATCTCGACGACAGTCTAAGCGCCACCCGACACGAGCTCGATGCTTCACGAGAACGAAACAAGCAGCTCGAGCGGGAGAGTAAGGAGCATAAAGCGCTGGTCTCTAGTGGAATATTGATACGGAGCTCGGTGGCCGAGGCTGAGAAGGCCAAACTTGTTGTGACTCTGGTAGATGAGAAGAATAAAAGGAGGGAGGTTGAGAAGGAGAAGAAGAGTATCGAGTTAGAATTGGAGAATCTCACTACGGCTTTATTCGAGGAGGCAAACAAGGTTGGTCTGAGTTTGATTTTGCATTAAAATAAATGCTGACATTGACAGATGGTTATCACGGCTCGAGAGCAAGCACAGAAGGAGTTTGATATCGTGAATAAGAAAAATGATCAACTGAAAGCACAGCTTCAGGAGGCGGAGAATCTATTGAAGTCGCAACAAGAGCAATTGGCAGAACTGAAGCAAGTTATGGAACACATGAGCGAGGAACAGGATGACCAAACAAATCAAACAAACGGCACTGCGCCGTCAACTCCGGCATTATATCAAACCGATCCCAAGGACGAGAACGCGCATAACTCGGACTCGATACAATCTTCATCAATTCCGGAACCCGTCTCGCCCTCCTACCCTACGAGTTTCTTGCACCTGATTCAACCCGTCCTTCGAACCGATCTTGGAGCTTACGATGATTTTATCTCATTGCTGCGCATGTCGAGGAATGTTGTGACTGGGAGCCGCGCTTCCAGTGGATCTTATGGAGCTATTGGGCTAGGTTTAGGGTTAGGAGCATACACTGGGTCAGCATCGCATGCACCAAACAACGGGTCAACATCTTCTATCTCGACATTGGGCACATTTGGATCCTCTCCCGCAACACCGACTACACCAGCCTCACACGTGAGCTCGGGGTCAAGAGATGGTCCCAATTCTCTGACTCCCTTAAAGGAGACAAGATTTTACAAACGAGCTTTGGCTGAGGACATTGAGCCCACGCTTCGTCTCGACAACGCTCCAGGACTTTCTTGGCTTGCTCGAAGGACAGTGTTGAATGCAGTATGCGAAGGGTCGCTGGTTGTTGAACCAATGCCTTCATCCATAAAGCCATATGCATTTTCCTGTTCTCTTTGTGGCGAAACTCGAAAAAGTCCAGAACATATCAGAAGTCATAGATTTCGAACAAGCGAAAGCGACACCGCGCAAAGATACCCCCTATGCTTATACTGTCTAGGACGCGTCCGTTCTACCTGTGGGTTTTTGAGTTTCTTACGCGTGCTCAAAGAAGGTCACTGGAGAGGTGAAGACGAAGAGTCTGATAAAGCCGCCTGGGAGGAGAGTGTCAGGTTGAGAGAAAGAATGTTCTGGTGCCGCGTTGGTGGTGGCGTTATCCCCTGCGTCCAATCTTGGAATCAGGAGTCATCTCGGAGTCCTCGCTTAAGTGACGAGGAAAGGAGACGCAAGTTTAGTGGAGAATCGGACAGGTCTATCGAGATTATACCCAGAGACATTACACCAACCAGTGAACTCTCACCCGTCAACGTAACCGGATTCGGGAGGAAGTCAGGGGATGGAGAGATTCTTCCTAGCCCACTTCGAGGGGAAGTGGAGAGTTTTGACATTTCGATCAGCGATTCTGAATTGAGGCATCAGGATGCCGAGGAGGTAACGGCAACGGCAACGGCAACGGCAACGATAACGAAAACGAAAGAGCCAGAGACGTCTGACATTATGATTTCAGAACTCGAGGTAAGATGTAACGAGTCAGAAGCTACGAGTAACACAGAAAACGCTCAGAACGCAGATGAAGTGGAACATCAGGATCTCGAACAAGCAGGCAACACGAAAGATCTTCATGATGAGCCAGATGAATCGAACCAAATCGAGTCCTCATCACCAAATGAGAAGTCCATCGAGAACAATGAAGACCCTGCAAAGCTTTCGCTTACCATACCCGGAGCTTTCTAATTGCTCGTCACGAGATGGACTTCATTATCATGTTATGATTAATAATTGTTGGGTTTGAATTTAGGAGTTTGGCAAAAGAAGGGAGGAAATTCTGGCATGATTCTAATGGCTCATTGCAATGGCGTTATATTTTATTGCGCGGGACTGATCAATACATACTATACCTTGCTTATTGTGCATAATTAATGGATCACGGGGCAGACAATAACAATAGCTGGGTTGTCGGGGTATGATCATGGCTATGATTATGGGTGCCATGAAGCAAGATAATATTCATGCTATGGAATAATTGAACAGACATGATATGATTCTTGTGTGATTTTTGGGTTGATTATGATTGAATTGTGATTATCGGTCATCAGCTATGGATCGGGGTGTGTATTGTGAAATTCGATTCCTAGCTACAGGAGATTGCCCTGTTCGGTTATATATCAGAGGTTAGGGGTGAAGGATAAAATGTTTAGGAAGCACGTAGTCGAATATGCAAATCCAATTTGAATATTGAAAAGGGTATCTGGCGACGGTCAATCCACACTTCCCTAGTGGGTTGACAAAATCGTGGGGTACACAAATCGGATAAACCTCGTATATCGGGGAAACTAAGTTCCGATCCAAGAGCTTTTATTCTAGGTTGTTGCAGGGCTGGCTTGTAAGGCTACTTACTGGTTGCATTTCTACAAACAACAACTCGAAAAAGGGCAATTCATACACGACCACTTTCAGTATTCAATATGGCGCCCTCGGTTTCAGATGCAGTCGCAGCTCTCGATGAAATAAAACCGCCTCAAGGTGTGGTACTACCACCAAAAGAAATTAAAGGTACGCGACCAAATAAACATCAGGAGCTGGATCATCTAACATTGTGATAGCTATACTCGAGAAGACAGCAGGCTATGTAGCGCGAAACGGAATCAACTTCGAAGGTGAGACTTTCTCGTTCCCGATGTACTCCATCAACATCGAGCTAACAATAGTAGATCGTATCAGGGAAAAAGAAAGAACCAACCCCAAGTTCTCCTTCCTTAGCACCAATGATTCATACAATGCATACTATCTATGGCGACTCAGCGAGATTAAAGAAGGGAGAGGAACCACCGTTGCAGCGGGTAGAGCTGGAGAAGCACCGCCCGAAGCGGAGAAACCTAAAGGACCGCCTGAACCACCAGATTTCCATTTCTCGGCGCGCATGCCGAACATCAGTGCACAGGATCTCGAAGTAGTCCGTCTGACTGCTCTATTTGTTGCGAAGAATGGTAGGCAATTTATGACGACATTATCTCAGAGGGAAACGGGGAACTACCAATTCGACTTCTTGAGACCTAATCACAGCTTACACAACTTCTTCCAGCGACTAATTGATCAATATACTGTGCTATCACGAGCAAGCGGCATGGATGGAGATGGTGGGAAGATGCAGCAGGAGAGGATGAAAGAACTACAGGCCAATGTAGACGATAAGTTCTACGTTCTAGGTAGAGCTAAGCAAAGGGCGGAGTGGTTCAAATTCCAAGACGAGCAAAAGCAGAAGAAGGAAGAGGAGGTTGAGAAGGAGAAGCTCTCGTATGCGCAAATTGATTGGCACGACTTTGTTGTGGTTGAGACTGTCATCTTCACGGAGGCTGATGATCAGACAAACTTACCTCCACCAACATCGCTCAACGAACTCCAATTCGCTTCTCTGGATCAAAAGGCGCAAATGTCGATTAATTCGACACACATGCGCATCGAAGAAGCCATGCCCGGGGACGATGGAATATTTGATGGGTCATATGCCCAACCACAATATAATATGGCGCCCCCTCCAGTGCCGCAACCGTCGTATCAACCACAATACCAAGACCCACGCCAGAGGAATAACGAAGATGAGGATGAAGAAGAACAAAGAATACGAGAGCGAACGGAGGCTAGAGCTCGTGCTCAGCAAGCACAGGCTGAAGCTAAGGGTGGTGCCGCACCTATGAGGATAAAGGAGAACTACGTTCCCAGAGCTGCCGCTAGAGCTGCTAATAAGCAGCAGCTGGCCCTTTGCCCGAACTGTCATCAACAAATTCCTTATGATGAGCTCGATGCTCACATGAGAAGTAAGACCACACATATCCCTCTGATAGACACCACAGACTGACACTTTCTTACAGTTGAATTGCTTGATCCTAGGTGGAAAGAACAGAAAGCGAAGGCAGAGAGCCGTCATGCAACGACTAATCTCTCAACGCAAGATGTAGCTAATAACCTCAAACGATATGCAAGTCAAAGGAGTGATATCTTCGACGGAGTTACAGGTCAACCTATAACAGAAGAAGAGACCGCCCGCAGAAAGAAGGCGGCAAATGGTTACGATGGGAATCCTATGGAAAAGACAGACCGTGCACGGTATGAAATGATGCAGAATGTAAATGTGGAGGAGCAGATTCGGGCGATCCACCAGAAATTTGGTGACCGGAAATAGGTCAGGGGCTGGCTGAGCTGACTGGGCATCAATAAGAATTGCCCACAACCTTACAGAAGCAATTGCCTCGTGGCCAGACGGATGTTTTTTCTTTTTCTTTTTCAGATTGTATACATACGCACGCATTGACCCGGTTTATTTTCAAAACATAGGAGCATGGTGTTCTGGCAAGAGGATGGTATGTTTATATGTAACTTACGAATAATATAACTACAACTACTGAATATTCAGCAGCTGCATATCGCTTTTAAGTTACCTATGTCATCTCATTTCACATCCTGTAACCACATTCATTGGCTTGCAACAGCTTTCTCGGAATTTTCTACAGGCAAGGCAATGATATTGATTTGCAATCGCCTTTTCAAAGGCGAAGTGCGAGATCTCTCTCTGTGAGAGGATGCTGACGATGCTTCAGTTCTTGCTCGGTTGTGTTTGGACTCGGAGATATGGGTATGTAGAGTAGAGACTGTATATGATTGTCAGAAGTATATGTATATTATGTTCAGGTACAGAATCTAAGCTATGCTATAAAGCATATAAATAAACAGATATATATTAATAATAAATATAAAAAAGAAATAATACTATAATACCCATAATACCCATAACTTTCTAATATTCCTTTTATAATTAAAACCTTAATTATTCTAAAGTATATATTACAAAATAATCTTTTATAAAATTCGATTATCTCATAATTTGGTTTTATTATATTACAATACAAAAATACTTTTACTTCTCTTCAAAATCCAAATCTAATCCCAAACTATAGATACAAAATACTAAGTAAATAAATTGTTTTATAAATATATTCATTATTTGTTCTATTCTTAAAATCTATATTATATATATTCGTTTTATATTAATTATATCTTTATAAATATAATATTATTTGATTTGAATATGCTTTGTCTTGCTGTGAAACTTGTTTTCATTTATTCAACTTATTCTA